ATATATATATATATATATATATATATATATATATATATATATGAAGGTGTTTTAAACCCTTACCACACTCTTGCGATGTTCTGAACAATGTTTGTAAACTCTAAACTGTCTAAAAGAGCACAGAATGTCATGCTTTTAGCTCTCTACCTCCTCTCAGCCACCTGCAAACGGTCTTGACCACGCCCACTTCCCCGCTCTACAGGAGAAACAGCTGATCAGCTGCAGCAGGAAGGAAGCTTATCCTGCAGTATGGGCTGCACAAAGATGCAGCAGGTGCTAAATATTTAAAAATAATTTATTTTACATAAAACTTCCATGGCGATCGTGCAGCTCATCCATCAATCAGCCAATTGTGTGTCATGTCCAGTCTTATTTTGAAAAACCGCAATACAGTCCGTGATAAACGAACCGTGAAGTAGAGAGGGACTACTGTAATCCCTTGCTATTTCGAGGTTCGACTTTTGTGGACTCGCTATATCGCAGTTTGTCAGTGCACATTAACATTTTTTTAATGTACAGGACACATGATTGTCAACTTTAATATTACTCACGTGATTGGGACAGTACTGGATTCTTGACAGTAGAGTAAAAAGTTAAGGAAAAAATAAAATACTTTGGACAGGCACCACCATTTTGTAGTTTTCTCTCAATAACGCTACACTATATTCCCGCTAATAACAACCACATTTCCCATAAGCCAACAGGGCCCCACCCAGAAGCCCCATTTCCTCCTGCTGAAATATGGGGGGACACACGCCGCCGTGGGTCTGGGATTCCATCCGGAGCCCATCCATCGAGACTTTTTTCATCCAGACTTGGACTCAGTCGACCACCTCCGGTTCGCCCCAGCCAACCGAAGGGCTGCCACTCCACACAAATGTGCATCAACGCTCAAGGCTGCACTGAACCAGACCAGAACCGGACCCTCAGACGCAGCGGTGAACCTGAGAGATCCTAGTTGGTCCACGAGGACCTCCGAGCAGGGACGCGCTGGTACGTAAAATTTAGAAGCTACAGTACTGTACATATAAGTATGTTGTTAGAATTAGCAGGTTTAAGAGTTTAGAAAATTGATTGTGGGCTTTGTCGCTGCAGGGTACGTCTGCAGAAAAAGCACCAAGTCCGACCAGAACAGAGTCGGACCGGAACTGAGAGCCGCTCCTGTTCTGCAGAGCCTGGTGAGTAAAATTTAATTACATATGTGTTATTAAATGACAAGAGTGTGGGAAGGGTTTCTAAAGCCTAATATATATATATATAAATACTAAAATAAATATAACGTCACTACTTTTTGGAATTTCACTTGCTGAGGGGGTGGGGTCAGAACCTAACATCCTCAATAAACGAGGGACTACTGTATTTCAAACTGTTGGACAAATTTTACTGAAACACTCAGAAGGTAATCTTTGATGGACATCTGCAACTGATTAATATTAAATCAAGATGGCCACCCCAGCTAATTGGTCTTAACAAACACAAAGAAAGTCCACCTTTGCCATGTACAGACACTGAGCTATGAGGCAGTAGCTGACAGTCTTCCCCAAGGAGTGCTAACAGATATCTTTGATTTAAAGTTTGGCATGCATCACTACTGTTTATTTTATATGAGAATTTATTAATATGGATAAATATACACTGCAAATTGTTTACAATTACAAACGCTATTAAATGTTTTGGGAAAATTTTAGACAAACATAATAATGCACTAAAACCTTGCACGCTTTTTGCTCTTTTAATCGCACATGTGAAGACTTACAGTTCCATCCCAGCATCTAAAGCGAACACAGACTCACAAGCACCACGTGCTGGCAACTCCCATATCAACAGAGCAGCAGATGTTATATTTGTCAACAAATAAAATCGTGCAGAAAGATCAACAGGTTCACTTTCAGGCCAAGGTTAATAGATTTTTTCCATCTCTTCTTTCGGTCTTCTCGGCACATTAAGGCAGATCGTTTTCCCGTTTTTACTCCAACCATCCTTGCCAGGTAATAAATGACATCAATATCTTGACAATACTTCTTTTATGATAGCCAAAATGGCTGTTTTGACCTTATCTCTGCCAGTGAAAACCACTCTCGAGCGAGTCTTTTGTTGACATGTTGGGCCATTTAGATCAACGCTGATTGATACAGATTGTTTTTATAGACAAGAGGTAATATAAGCCCCAGATGCGAACACATGTACAGAAACCTTGTGGCGTCGCCCACAAGCAAAGACCTGCATATGTCCTACACAATGCCCCAGACACTGAAATGTTTGCTTTTATGATGGTGACAAACACTTTTTGCATTATAGAAGCTCTTTCTCCAGGGTATAAAGGTAATCCCATACAGTGTAGATATGCAAATATAAGTTAAAAAAATGGGCATGTCAAGCACAAATACTACCCAGGGTGTGTGTTGAAGTCTTAATTAGTAGAGTCAAGTTCCCCTTCCCTCCTATAATTCAAACCATGGTGACACAATAGTATTTCTGGTGCACCGAGAGGTGAAGGGCTGCGATTACCCAAATTAAACCCCTCAATGAAATCCTATCTCAGTGCTTCGTAGTTAATTAATTAGCAGCCCAAGACTCCTTAACCCGACTGAATCAGTGGGAAAACAGATTACATCTTCTCTGTGCTCTCAGAGACAGTCTTCTGCATCGTCTCTCATTACCTAGTAAATTACCTAAGAGAGGAAACGGCACCAGGCATTGATTCAGTGTAGCATTTCAGAGCCATTACTGCACACCACTGTGTCAAGGCACATTAGAGGACACTTGCCAATAGCAGAAAGCAAATCCCAAGCTGGCAAATGCTGGGTCATTCGTTTGCAAAGACGTTCATTTATGTGTCAACGTTGCTACAAGCATACTTTTGAAAAACTTGGAGAGTTGTGCCAAATTTGAATAATAAAAAAATGCAATAACTTGTAAATATCATAAACCCGCAGCAATACATCTAAAACATTTAGGACAGGGTTTACGTGTTTACCACTGTGCAGCACCCCCTCTTTTTTCTTTCTTTCATGTTGTTTAATATTGTCTTGCTGAAATATGCAAAATCTTCCCTGAAAAGGACATTGACTGGATGGAAGGAAGTTGTTCTGAAACTTGTATGATATTTTCTACATGCATGATGACCATGCCAGAGGCACCAATTCACCCCCATACCATCAGAGAGGCAGGCTTTGGAACTGAGTTCCCATAATATGCTTGGTGTCCTGATGCATGCTCAATAATCCAGGTAGAAAAATCTAAAAAAGTTAAATCTGGTCCTCTGGACATTCAAAAAAACAAAAC